ATTCACAATAGGTTTGAATAACCTGGGCAAACCGACCCATTATTAATATTTTAACTTACAATTAAAAATTATGATAGATAAATGATTGCTTTTGCTTTCTAATTTATATATTGTTTTGCCAACATCTATTCTTTTTTCTACATTTGTGTCTCAAAGTTGTGCTAAATGACAATCACTTTTGTCATAACGTCTTTAACTTCTCAAGTAAGCTTAAGTTATTATAAAGGACATAAAAAAAATATATAAATAGTAATTTTTAATATAATTCCTAGAGATACACGATATAATTGAAGATTACATTGTTTTTAACCTTCCAAATATAACAAAGGACAAGAACAGAAAGCACTAAATATAGGAGTGCTCTTTAAAATGAAAGTCAGTTGGCAACCTGAAGTAAACCTGAGCTAAGTTTATACCTACTCTTAAGTTCGGAATAGAAGGGTAGATTGGAATAAAAGAGTAGGTTGAAAAATTCATTCAAAATTAATTTGTATTCGGAAGAAATTTCGGATAGAGAGAAGGTTGGAATAAATGGACAGGTCGGAATAAACAGCTAGTTCATGAAAAAAAGTGGAAAATAAAATATACAGATTCTGGAAAAACAGTGGATAGGCTAGAAAAAATAAAAAATAAAAAGTCGGCCAGGATCGCCTATTCCGGATATGATAGTATATATTTTAGGAACCTAACAGACGAAGGTGACGTTTTTATTTATTTAGTTTTATTTATTTATTTCATTTTTGGAGAAAATTCTCCAGCCCCCACCCCCAACTTTCCCAATTTTTTTATTCTTTTCTGAGAGCAGTTTACCCAGATTTTAGGTAGAAAAATAAAATCCGAGTGTCATGCCCACAAATTGCAATACAAAGTTATAAGCAACGCGGAGAAATGATCTCCACAGAAAATGAATAAAATCATGCTAAATATGACAATAACATTTATCCGGTAGGTAGATATATTTACATGTTGAAAATGAATGTTCTTTGTTGTGGTCACGAAGAGACCAATAATTCGATGTGATTTGTAGCAAGTAAGTCTGCAAAATTTCGAAATTATTTTGTTACAAATGAGTCTGCAAAGTTTCGAAGTTATTTTGTTGCAAGTGAGTCTGCAAAGTTCAAAATGTACGCCAATATGCGTGTCTGAAGTACACGCTAATGAAACGTGTGTAAGTGATGACTGATTTCGTGCGATAGTAGTAATTTTAAACATAGTGAACAAAGATAGTTGAGACAAGACTTACTTCGCCACACCTTTGTATGTAGGAAAATCATCGCTGACTGACGCGTTGTCATGGTAACGTGTGTTGAGACTTGGCTTGTTCACTGACTGTTCCGTTTTGCAGATCTGTCCGCTGACTGTCCTGTTCCAGCTATGGCCCTTGACTGTTGCTGACAAGACGTTTTTATGGCTTATGGCGAGTCGGTGACTGACTCACGAATTCTATTTGAGTTCCGCCCGGCAACCCAAGCATTGAACTAGTTCCAGGTCATTTGAAGTTCAGCCGCGCGGACGTCGTAGAGAGCACATCACGTGACTTGTCATATTCAATCAGGTTTCAGAAACCACCTATTTAATTTTGGAGCCGTGTTTTGTACAGAATTGTAAAGTGTTTTCGTATCTACTGATTCTTTAGGATTTATTTGTAGGCGTCTCTTATTTGTTTGTGCTTCACTTATGGGCTGTAAAATATAGGAATTTATATCCTATACTTTAAATGATCTTCCGACCCCTTTTATTAAGACCTCTCCTCGTTTATTGCATATTGTGAATAATTCTGCCCTCCACCATTATTAAGTCTTTTACCTTACATTAGACACGTAAGAGTAGAATTTATCGCTGTCAGTATCAAAAACAGTATTTATATTACATTACATTTTACAATGTTTTACAGTAAGCTTCACTGGTTTGGAAAATACGAATAACCGTCACGTGTCTATTATAAGCTTGTTGAATTAGTGATGTCGGGTCTATATTGCAAAACTTAAATTTTTATTTGACTCTTGGGGTGTTTCATGCAAGATAATTCTAATATTGTATCAAAATGGGGCCTTTTATTTTCCGTATTTAACGTAGTTGTGTGTCACCCTAAAATATAATCTAAATAAATATTTGCACGGTAAATATAACATTAAAAACATCATATCAGCTTTTAAATAAACTGATAAACTGTTTGAAAATTTGAAATAAAGCTTACAATAACTTTTGATTCGAACATAAATCCTGCAAATTGATGCAGGAAAGACATTGCTTTGTGTTTAATGGGAGATGACTAATGTCATACTTAATGCGAACACAGTTATTCCCCTTGTTCGTGAAGATCGTATATATTTTGGTGGGCGAGATTTTAAGACCTAAATTTTGACATAAAGAATGATCTTACTTAGGCAATGACTTTGTTATGTTGAAATCAATTAAGAATGAGAAGAGTTAGGAGGAAATCTTCGCTTACATACAGGTTGCAACAAATATCATAACTGTTCAATGTAAAGTTATAATCTTTTGTTAAAATTTATTGTTTTTCACTTTCAGTGAAACTTGACATTGATGTACGTCCAAAAAAAAGTGATACCTAAAGTTTAATATAATTTTTTTTTAATTAATAAATCTTTCTTGGAGCTTTTAATTTATTTTTAATTTCGAGATAATAGATTAAATTTAACATTTTCAATAAACAAAATATTTTGCTGTATTTCAAAACTAATTTAAATTGACTGGAAATAGTTTTTATTTAATCGCTAAAAGTCGCTGATTTTAGCCATCTGTCAGCACAGTAAAATTCTCTTTATTAAAAAAAATCTTTGAAAAATAAAATATAGTTTTTTTATCTTTATTTGAGGAATATTAGCTGATGTAAAGTTTAATTAACTTGATTTGAAACAAATATTACTTACTTTTAGTTTAAAATATCGCAGAAATGCATTTTTTATCTTGACTGATCTAATTTTTTTCTACGGGGAAAATTACTTGAGGAATATAACGTGAGCGCCTTTTTATATAATTTTTAACCACCTAGTAATCTTACAAAATTAGGAAAATATTCTTAATTTAATGTCTTATTGAATTTAGGTACTTTGGCTTTACATTTACTACAATTATTGCTTTTATTTTCTGATAATGTCGTGTTTAATTACGTACGTATTTACAAAAAACGGCACAAAAAATTCAAAATTCTTTTTAAAATGGAGGCACTGATTTATAGTAAGCTTTTCCATTTGTGAATAGTAAATATAGTTTTTTCTTAATAACAATAACACTTCTTAACAATATTACTTAACCTCTACAAATTAATTTAACAGATTTAAAACTTTAAATTATTCTTCTATTTCTCTTTTTTTTAATGCAAACAATACTTGGAAAAATTTATTATTCATCGATTTTTTTTACTTGACAATAGTGTCCATAATAGAAAAAATGCTTTTAATTGCTTTTATGGATAAGAATTCATAAAAGCAATTGAAAACTTTTCCAATTAAATAATGTTTTAGTTTCATTGCATTTTTTTATTTTACGATTCATGGCAGATTTTCGGTGACCGGAGTTCCTGTTTTACAAAAAAAAAAAATGATGATTTAAATTCTTGAAGGAGTTTTGTGTATAACTAATATAAACATGGAGCGTTACATAAATTAATTTCTCAAATTTTCATAAAATTAAATAAGTGTGGCGGTAGTCGTTGAAAAAAATGTTTTTACCAAAATTTTCTAAAGAGAGATATTTCTAAAATGATTTCATTCATTTGCGAATAAGTCCCGCAAATTTTCCAAATCAATGTGCCTTTCACTGCAAAACGATGCTAAAATTTCCTATACGAATCTTCGCCAACCCCACACCCCCGCCACCTCTCCCGCTGACGCAAGAAAAAACATTTTTTAACCAAAATTTCGAACGTTCTAAAAAGGACCAAAAAATATAAATTAATAATCAAAAAAAATCCTTTGGTCTTATAAGTTTGGAGCATATTTTTTTTTTTTTATCATGTAGGTATTTCATTTACCCGTCTCCCATGGCGACGTAATAATGTGATATAAGATCGGGTAATGTGATACAAGATCGGGTAATGTAAGGCACCCTAACACGTACCACCAGGCCAGGGTCAAAACCGTCGGTTGTGCTGGTATCATTTTTTTCATCTTGTATACTCAGCTTTTAGACTACACATTAAAAATACAACAGTAAATTAGAATGTTTAGATCTTCCTTAGGCCGCGACACTTGTCACAACCGAAAATGTTGACTTGGTATCGATTTAGGAGGGGATCATGTCTATAATATTGATATAGAGTCAAATCGATACTTTACTTTTACAGGATTATTGGCCTTAGCTGTTTTGAGTATGACTACATCTTTTTATTGGGGTAGGGGACAAAAATTTTCTCTTAAATAATGAACAAAGGGATATTGTAGCGTACGTACCAAATATAGCGTCGAGTCGATTCACTAAATGTAGCAGGAACGCCAAATAAGTACGATTACTATTTAATTTATATTAATGATTCTTCAACGTACAGGATTCAAGAAATAATAACAACAACTCCAATTTGTTAACCAACAAATATATATTGAATAAAATACAAGAAGCATGAAATAAAATCGTATTCACAATGTAGATTAAAGAAAAGGAAGTTATTTCCCTTTGACTGTAGACTGATTGTAATCAACCATTTGAAGAACGTTCTCTTATGAGATAAATGTTCCGAAATAATTGTTAGAACAAAGTTTACATGTGAAGAATGAATAACACCAAGAATACAATTGCTTGAAATGTGTTGTGAATAAACTGGTTTGAATCAACAAAGTTCTGGTTGATTGTGCTTGGCGAAGGTTATAGAGAGAAAATGTAAGTTTGTAGTTACGAAATTCTGTCTGTGTGTGCGTTAAAGTGTGATGAGCGAGATCGTGGATTTGTGTTGACGGCTGGGATCTTACTGGCGACTTGCGAAAAGTCGCCCCTTTTAAAGAAAAGAGGTAGGCTCCCACAGAACCGCGCGATATTTTCAGCCCGAAAGGTCACACGACAGGACACTAAATACGCCTCCGTGGTACAAGCCTTACCAGCATCAGTCGTTGAAGAAGTGGAAGACATCCTTCTCAATACCCCGGACCAACTCCCGTACACCTGCCTCAAAGAAGCCATCCTGAAACGAACTGGACGTTCGGACGAAGACCTCATCAGAGACTTATTCTCCAATGTGTCTCTCGGCGATAGGACACCATCCCAGCTCCTCCGCCTTTCAATGAAATACGTAAATTTTGGGAAAAAATACTATTTGGAGCAAATTTCTATACTAGAGATATTATTAGACTATTACAGAAGTTCGTGCCTGATTAGAAAATTAAAACGAAAATTTTGCATACACACAAAAAAACATTTATTAGTCAAGTACATGATCACTACTGTTTTTAGCAACTGTCTCCCGTCGTTCTACAGGGTTGTTGATGCAATTTTCGTTATAATAATCGTGTTTTTTTGTTTGTTTTTTACGAAGATACAGTTTTCAACTGATTATACCGTCAAATTTCTTTCGTCATTTAAGTTGTTCTTTAGAGATAGGAACAAATAAAAATCCGAAGCAGCCAAGTCAGGAGCATACGGTCGATTGTGAACAGTTTCCCATTTCAATTCTTTAAGCTTCTACAAGGATTTTCTTTACTTGCATCATGAAGTCATGCGTTGTTCTGGGGGGGGGGGAATGACACCATTTTGATTTGCCAAAATCGGCTGATTTTCTTGAATATCCGCATTGAGATTGGTGAGTTGATCGCAACACTTCTTCGTAGTTATTGTTTTGGCGGTTGGAAAAACCTCAGACTGAATTATCCTTCTGCAATCCCACCAAATGGACAGCAACATCTTCATTGGATGCAAGACTGCTTTAGCCATGGGCTCTGCACAACCTTGTTTCCAGCTCTGTTTGCGCCGAACGTTATCATAAACGGTTCACTTTGCATCGCCTGTGAAAATTCTGTCCAAGTACAGCCCATTTTCGTGGCGTAACAGATCGAGCTTGTTCTGTTCGGTCAGAGAATGTGGTTCCCATGTGTCGAGTTTAGAAATGAACCCAAGTCTTATCAAATGGCGAAATACAGTTAAGATATCGATTTTCACACTCTTAGCATCCTCTTTCGTCGAAATTTTTGGTTTATTCTTCACGATGACAAGCAGAACCTCTTCATCGACGTCGGAAGGTTACTCGGAGCGTGGTTGATCATTTAGGTTAAAATCACCCTGACGAAATCTGCCAAACAAATTTTTGACCGGCAAAACTAAAGAGTTGAAGCACAATCCAAATAAATCTTCTGAATATCTTCTTTTCTTTTCTTTTTTTTTTTTTTTTTGTCGCAGTTCCGACGTTTACTTCTTTCTGAAATTCATAGACCATAATATGGCAAAAGTACAGCTTTTCATTCTCCATCTTTAACGTGTTCATTTTTGGACAAATCTTCATCATTCAACAAAGATAGACTCGCAACTGAACAATGCAAGGTTTCACTCTAGAACACATCAGATATCGGTACCAAAACAAACACCAGTGTAAAGTGGCATTCACTTTATATTAACAATGAAAATCGGGTATGAACTTTTGCAGTGATCTGATAAGTAGAACGGTCGTCTGGGTTAAAGTAAAAATTTTGCAGTTGTAATTTATTTGTTAAAACCTCCTCGCGACGCGCCGTCGCCTCTCTCTGTCTTTTTTACAAATACTTTTATGGCAATTGCTCCGAGGAGCTGCATTCGCTGGTTTCCAGACTTCATGAGTTCAAGCGCCCTACGAGGCTGGCATCCCGCTCTCACCCTTTCACTGTCGAAACTCCTAAATGTAGCCGTCTCTTCTACTCCAATAGCTTCATGTCTCGCACCTCTCGCCTGTGGAACTCCCTTCCCTATTCCAGTTTCCCTGAGAGCTATAATCTCCAACTATTCAAATGTAATGTCAATCGACATCTCGAGTTGCCTTGATCTATCCATTATCCTTCTCCTCATCCTTTCCTCTATCACTCCTATCTGATCTTGCTCCAAATCTTCTGTAACCCCTTGCGTCCTAGTGGCTTCTCACCTTGCTTGGGGTGAAACGCTTAAAAAAAAATGTTGCCTGATAAACTCAAAAGCGACAGGACAAGAAAATCATTAAATACAGGACATAACCTATATATATGAGACACGATGTATGCCGTATCTTAAGTTTCCTTAATTACATTAAGTTTGCTTAAAAAATTAAATTAAATTTTTAACTTATCTGTCCCTGTTCCGAGATTTGCTATTGTTTCTTTTACTGTTCCTTATCTTTTCTTTTTATGTGTCATGGCCTTTCAGGACGTAGGGGGTCATGGCTCTCCACTTCCCTCTATCCCTTGCAGCTTTCAGCAAGTTCCTTCTCTCTGCCACCTCCCCCAGACCACGTTCTATCATCTACTTGCTTAAGGCCGCTAGGTATGTCATGCGTTGTTTTCCCTTGTCTCTCTTTCCCTCTATTCGACCCGTGAGTATCAGATTCTTCAGCTGCCTCTTCCTGGTGTTAAGTATAAGCCTCCTCTTTGTTTGCAACCTCTCTAAGACCTCATCGTTGCTCACACGCTCGGTCCATGATATCCTTAGCATCCTTCTGTAGAACCACATCTCTGTCACCTCGAGTCTCTTCTTCATCTTTGAGTCTCTTCTTCATCTTTTGCTGTCGTAAAGAAGGACAGATGTCACGTAACAGCTCAGTATTCTTTTCTTTGTTAACAAAGAAATCCTTCTTTCTCGTAATACTCTGCCTAGCTTTTGGAATCTGTCCTTGGCCATCCCAATACGTCTACGGAACTCACTGTCGCACTTACTGTCCTCTGTCAAAACATATTTAAACTTCCGCGTCCAGTGTTCCCGACCTGCACATCGCATTTTGGGCTCATCCTCTTACTGATGACCATGCTTTCTGTCTTCTTGTAGTTTATGCTTAGTCCTTTCTTCTCACTCTCCGTCGTTACCTTCTGTAGGAGAATTTATAATTACTTTTCCGTATCTGTTAATAGTACTGTGTCATCTGTGTATCTCATGTTGTTAATATTGTGGCCGCCAATGCTAAATCCTGGTAGGGTTTCCAATTCTCTCAAAATTGTCTCACTGTATAGGTTAAACAGATCAGATAAGAAGATCCTTGCCTTACGCCCCTTTCTATTTTTGTATATTCACTGAAGTCGTTCCCTATGCGTATGCATGCTGTTTGCAGCCAGTATAGGTTCTTGATTATTCTGATATCTTTCCCGAATATATGAAGGTTGCTGAGCAGTTCCAGCAGATCCTTGTGGCGTACTTTGTGGAAGGCCTTTGTTTTAGTCTATGTGTTATGGGACCTACATTTATGCACTAAATGGACTCGTCCTATTACTATATATACAGGGAGATTATGCCTCTCAAGAGAGCTGTCTACCGTTGACGAGTTGACTACTGTATTTTGCTGTCAGTCAGACGTGCAACACTTTTGTATTCGTTTTTTTGTTAATATGTTTTCACTAACTTGCTGAGTTCGAGTTTTCTTTCGGACCAATTCTGGGTGCACAACACTATGAAACATAGGTACACGTCCTTCTGCATTTGTATCGCTCTTTCTGATAATATTCTGAGCATGAATATTGCGTTCCTTGTTCCGGTGTCTTTAATGAACCCTCACTGTTCTTGTCCTATCTCTGGCCTGATTTTGCTGAGCGCTCTATTAATCAGAATATAGATGATGAGTTTTGTCACGTGACTCATTATGCTTATTGTTCGGTGGATTTCGCATTCGTTTGCGCCTGGTTTCTTAGGCATTGCTATGAAGATAGACCTGCTGAGGTCTTCTGGTATATTCCCGCTGTTGTAGATTTCACTTGTTTTTTCGATGATTTTGTCTATGCCAAGGCTGTCAGCATTTCCGTTACAATTCCTTCTGGCCCAGCTGCTTTGTTTCTCTTTAATTTGGCTAGTGCAGCTTTTACTTCGGTTTTCAGAATACCAGGTCCGTCGGTAGTTCTGAGTATTTTCACTATTTTCACCTAGTTAGACGAAAAGCAGTGGCAACAATATTTTACACATATAAATGACGAGTTGTCACTACTTGCAAAGGTGAAAGGAAACGGAATAAATTTGAACGGAGCGATATTTTATATTTTTGTTTTTATATAACTGAGCAACAAAGGAGAGTAAATACACGGAAAATACACGTAAAAGAAAGAAGATATTAAAATTTTGGAACTGTGTTTGTTATACACGCGCGTGTGTGTGTGAAAGTTTAGTCACTAAAGGGAAAGATACTCCCATGTCTGGGAGAAGGTTGTTGCTGTCGTCACTGAAGCATGTTGAGAGGAGAAAAAAGGAAGAAGACAGAAAACGTCCGTTTTTATAAGTGGTTAACAGCGCCACCTAACGACTTCTTGGTGAAACTGGCAAAACTAGGTGGGGCTAACCCACGCTAACAAGCATTCTAACAAGTAGCAACATCTCCGTGAAACACCGTGTAGAGAGATAAGTGAACATTTAATTTTATTCATCTTCTATCTCTTGATATGTTTTGGCTTTAAATAACCCATAAATGGCTGATAAGCCATAAACAAAAAAATCAATTAAATATTTGTTTTATAGCTGGCGTTGCTATTGGATACCATGACATCACCACTTGCCAGTATTTAAACCATCTTCTGTCCTTTCAAGATATGGACAATCATGGCTCTCCATAAAGTCCTGTTTTTAGTTGTTTACTACTCCACTTTGTCCTTGTTTTGTCATCGATTCACTCAAACTCATTAAATAAATTACTGGCTGTTTATCCCTGCTTAATTTACCTTCCCCGTGAGTGTTAATTTATGATTGTCAGTTTCCTGGTAGTTCCTATTTTACCTTAAATTGTCCTCATTACTCACATATTCTATCCATAGCCGCTCTGTTAATCTCCAGAATATAGTAAGTTAATTCCTGTCTGAATTTCTGGAATGAGGAGTTATCATTATTTACATGCAGACTATTGTCTTCATTTTTGTTGTTGTTATCACATTTCAGCTGTTGTGTCCTCTGGCCATTATCCAGCTTGTAGATCCAGCAGATGAGATATCCCTGGACATGGTCAATGAAATAAGAATAATTTACTACTGTAGATTAAATAAAGGGCTCAGTTTAAAATTCCATGAATGTTACCTGGATGAACAGATGAAGACTGGAGGATACAATGGCCAAAATGTTGTGATAGGAACAACAAAGATGAGGATAACAGTCTGCAAGTAAAATAATGTAGTA